GCCCAATTCTTGGCTGCTGCAAAATCCAAAACCCAGAGTTTTGAGAGGGGAGCACTCTCCTCTGGACCCAACTCAGTCTTGGTCAGCACCCTCATCCATGAAAAAATAATGAATGAGGGCAGCATTATTACATGCCAACATGGCATTCAAAACCAGCAGCTAGAAGTCAGAGCCACCAAGGATCAGGGGATAAAAACTAAGGCTTGACACCGGGACTGCTTTTAAGCAGAGGCCATTGTGATGCTCCTGCTTGCCCTCTCAGCTCCTCCCTTCCCTCTCCCACCCTTCCCTCCCAGGCAAAGGCGCACACAGACACACACACACACACATCTCCTCCACCCTCTACACATAAACCCAATGCCCTAACAGCCAACCTCACCCCGCAGGAAACTCAACCATCCCCTGGCTGCACCTGCTCAAGCACTCAGTAGCATCAGAGGGGGCCAAGTCCCTGTGGGGAAAGAATACCCGGGTCCCACCCCCACCCCAATGAATGGGTACAAATCACATCCCTAAAAGCTTTTGGGGGGCAAAGCCCAAGAGATACTACTCTGGGACCTCCACATTGACCAGCACAATCCAGAAGGTCCAGGGCAGCTATAACCTCACAGGCCAAATGTCTGGGGGTGGCAGTGGCAGAAACCAAAGGCAGCATGTGTCCATCCAACTGTCATGCCTGCTGTTCCTGCAGTCCACAGTGCCAGCCCTCTACCCCTGACTGCAATCTTGGAACTGGCTCTTCTGCTGATGCAGTCTTCACTGGGCCTGACAGCTCCACTGGGCCACAGGCCTCTGCCCCACTGTTAAGTGTCAGCTCCATCAGCCCAGCACACTGTATACCTCTGGCCTGTATAGTCCAGTGCTGTTATACATGTACACTGAGATGACTTGTGTTTTTTTCTTTCTCCCTACTCCTATCTCCAAGATATCAGAAGCCTACAGACTTATTTATGGAATTGGCCTCAACATGTACAACCTTTATGCTTCTTGCTGGGGAGGTGCAGACTATCAAAGTCGCTACGAAGCTGACCTGTCCAACCTCTTCCGCCATTATCAGTTCAATGTCCCGGTACCGGTGAGTTGCATGGCTATCTGCCTTGAGGCTGTTTTTGCAGGGATTCACCCCATCATTTAAATTTAGCAAGTAGCCACAGGTTTGGTCAGTGCCTTTGCTCAGTGGCTACCAACACATCATCACCCTTCTGGCACCAGCTCCGTGGTCTTTCAGTTTGGAGCAGTAAAGAACAGACTGCAGATAGTCAGATTACAATAAGGAATAAGGAAAGAATGCCCTGTAAGGTTTAGTGGTAATCCATAATCCCATAGGCAGAAAGGTGATAGAACTGTCTAATTCTGGTGTTTCACTGAAACATGAAAATGGGATGTAAGTGAGTTGATGTGCAAAAGCAAAAGTACTGCTTTTGGCATGATTTTATGTTGTAATGCCGTGAAAGCTTACCTATATAAATTTGAATAATAAATAAATAAATAAATGTAGAATTAGGCAGATTTACAAAATAAGAAATTCTTAAATGATTGCATATATAAGATGAATTCAGATATAGCACTAAGCCATAGTCATAGTGGATTTGCAGAACATTCCAAACTATACTTCGTGGTTTATAACCCCACAATGTCTGGGTTCACATCACATGTTTTCTGAACTGTTTGGTTCCACAGCCCTACCACTCCCATCCTTCAGTTTGAAAAGAAAGTTGCATGGCAAAAGTCCAGCCATTTTCCTGTTAAACTCTGGCAGAGTGAGGGAAGATAATGATAAACTAAAGCTTCTATTTTCTAAAAGAAAATATTGGTAGAAAGTAGCTTCCAGCTCAGCAAGCAAGTAATCATTTCAATCACATGTAATTGCTTTACCTTGAAAATCACTCATTAAACATCCCTCTTTTGTATAAATCCGCTTCATCCATAGCGCCTATTGCCCATAAAGCTGCATCTCCAACTGATCCTCCACAGGGAGCTCCAGTCTTCTACCTCTCCTGAGAGACTTCACGCTCCACGTGTTGCCCTCAGAGATGAATGAGACCAGAGAGTCTCCTCCATACCTTTACTTTATTTGGGGGATAATTTACTTCAATGAAGAACAATGTTAATATGGCCTTGACAAAAGTTTTCTGAATCCTATATAAGTTAAAGAGATCAAAACAGAAGTCCTTTTCACAGAAAAACAAAACACTAGGCTAAACTGGGGTTGCACAAAATTGTTTAATTGTGTTGTAGGAACCCAGACTTTAAGCTGGCATGTTGTATAAACATGACAAAAAACTATGTGAACAAACAATTGTTTTGAGTTTAGAATGTAGCACGCTGTGCAAACCCAGAGAGCCAGTTTGGTCTTGTGGTGAAGGCCCCAGGCTAGAAAGCAGGAGACGGTGAGTTCTAGTCCCACCTGAGGCATGAAAGTTGGCTGGGTGACTTTGGGCCAGCCCCTCCCTCTCAGCCCTTCAGACTTACTTCACAGGGTGGTTGCTGGGGGGAAAGTAGGAGGAGGAAGGTGTGTTTGCCGCCTTGAGTTATTTATAAAAAAATAATAAAGGTGGGATAAAAAAATCTAAAAACAAAACAAAACCCCGCCACTGAGGCTTTTGGGATCTGTAACATATGAAACCAAGAGCACAAATCTGTTTCATATGAATGCAGTCTAGGATTAAGAAACAGGCTCTAGAGGTAAACAGCCAGCTTATTTCTGGTGCCTGTGACGTTCTTTTCTTATGGCACTCCACCCTTAAAATATTTTTAGAGAGAAATAACTGTCACTATGGTTCAAACTCACAAAAGAGTATTATTTGCATGTCATGTTGTTGGTTCAGTGAGACAGGCGCTGGATGGATTGGAATGGCAATCCCTTTCTGAAGAATCGCCTCTTGCAAGGATTGGGTCCACCTCTACTTTTTAAATTCCCATTTTGCTTCCCCTACTGCCTTTCTAACAACCACCTTTCAGTGGTTTAATCCTTCTTTTCTGAGTTTGAGAGGTGTTGGCTTGCTCAGAACAAAGTCTTACTCAAAACAAGAATAGCAAATGTGTTTCTCCTAAAATCCCCAGTAGCATAAACTGGTTTGTAAGCATTGCTGCTTAGCACTGAAATTTTCAATGCTAAACAAACTAATGAATCAGATGACCCCAATGGTAAGATTCGAACCTTTAAAAGCTCTGAATCAATTTTTTCTCACCTGCATCCTGATATGCTTTTGCTTTCATTTTAAGAAAATCGGCTCTATCCCAGGAGTGCCTAAATGTATAAATGCCACTGCAATGTATGTCTGGCTGAATCGAGATGAGGTCCGGCAGGCTCTTCATATCCCCAGCACTCTGCCCAATTGGGAGCTTTGCAGGTGACTGGTTCTGCTCTTGAACATTCAAAGATGGTACAGGGATAGAGGACTTGCTACTGGGCACTTAGAGCAACCAAAGGCTTAAGTTAGAGAGATGGAATTGTAATTTTGTGTAAAGGTGCTACCAGAGAAGGATGTATCATAAACCTTTCCAAATACTAAACTTCATGTTCATTCATAACTAGAATTAGTCTGATTAGGGGTTAATCAGTCATATGAAGTGGTGCTTCCTGTTGCCCCCTTCCATTGGAGGGTTGACTGGTCACTGAAGTATGGGCCTTTTGCCTTAAAAATACTGCCTTCCAGATGTGTTGGACTGCAAGTCCCATATGCCCAACCAACCTTGTTAATGGAATTTCAAATGTTTACATTCAAATCACACTTCTTAGATGTGACTAAGTTAATTTATGAAGCCTCTTTGCCTGAATATTATATCCCAGTCAATAGTACTAACTGTACTATTTTACCTCCTCTGATACTTGAGGAGTGTGTATTATTTTTCTTGGGCCAACTTGATGCCTAGATGAATCTACTTACACTCAAACTTCTGTTGGGCAGTATGAGTAGGAAAGGAGTTCCTTTACTGGAATGGCAACTGGGAACTTCCTTGTAACTCATATTTGGGTCATGCATGCATAACCTTTTTTTAATGGTGGGAAGAAAGACGGGATGAAGGACTCATGTGGTTAGGCCCTTGCGTGATCTTCTCCCCTTCTGTTACAGTTCACAGATATCTGCCACCTACCAAAGACAATATATGGATATGACTCCCTTCTACAAGTTTTTGTTGACACAAAAACTTCATGCTCTGGTTTATAATGGCGATGTGGACATGGCATGCAACTTTTTGGGGGGTGAACAATTTGTTGAGGCTTTAAATCAACCTGTAAGTACCTGAGGAAAATGTTTGTTTCATCTGGGCATAAAGCTCTGATTTAGGAGTGAGAGACTTGCAACAAAATCTGATGCTTTTCAGACCCTTCAATTATTCTGTCGCAGAAAGCAGGCAAGGGATAAGTTCCCAAACACTGGCCATGGGCATGGAAAATATTACATCTTGTTCTCTTTCTGGTTTGATGGGAGAGTGAGTGCTTTCCTTGGGTTATTGGGAGACAATGGAGGAAAAGAGGGATAATTCTGGGAATCCTCAGTTTATTCACTACGGCCTGCATTTAATCAAACATTTATGTGTGAGGAAAACCAAACCTGATAATGGTGTCTAGAAAAGGAGTCTTAAGTTCCAAAATGGTAAGTAAGGTTTATTAAGTTTACCTTTTATGATGAGAGCCAGTTTAGTACAGTGGTTAAAGGCACTGAATTAGAAACTGGGAGACCCTGAGTTCTAGTCCTGCCTAAGGCATGAAGCCAACTGGCTGGCTTTGGGTCAGTCCCTCCCCCCCAGCCCTAGGAAGAAGGCAGTGGCAAACTACTTCCCAAAATGTTGCCAAGAAAGCTTCAGGGACACATCCAGACAGTCACTAGGAATCAAGATAGACTTGAAAGAGCATATACTACCTCCCTCACTACTTTCAGTGATATCACTAACCTGTAGGATTCAGACAGAATGCAAGAGCCTACATCTTCCCAGCAGGATAAAACACAGCAGAACCAATGAGAGGAACAATCAAGGAAATGTATTGTCGAAGGCTTTCACAGCCGGCATACAATGGCTGGTGTGGGTCTTCCGGGCTGTGTGGCCGTGTTCTGGAAGTTTTGTTTCTTTTATCCTGGAGAACATGAAAGACACTGCAGACTACAGCAACCAGAAAAATCTGCAGTAGCTGAACATGCTCTCAAGCACACTGGACACAAAA